CCGCGCCGCCGCTCCGGCTACCCCGCGGCTGCTGGGAACGCACGAACTGCCCCGGATTTCAGCGGAGAAAGTTCGCCGATAACGTTGTCAGCACCCGAAAATACTCACCGGGGGTGTGCGTGCGTGGGGAAAGAACCAAAAAGCCGTGCGCTCTGGCTGAGCAGGTACCAGATGTGCCCTGGGGAAACTGCAGGAAAACCGGAGGTCTGGAACATAAGCAACTTTTTCTCTGCATTTCCAAGTGGTTTTTGCCCCTGCTTCGCCTAGCTACCTACGCCAAAGGCGTGGTATCGGCGGGTTGTGTCCATGAGACCATTCCTAAAAGCCTGAAGCAGTCCACGGTGGTGGAGACTGCTCAGCGCAGAGGCAAGAAACATTTAAGAGGCAAAAAGCCCATCTCATGCAAAGCCCATAGGTTGAGCACGAGTCAGTCCATCGATGCCCCCCAAATCCCTTCAGCTAGCTCCAAGGCGTATGTACCCCTTCTGCCCTCAGCAGCCACTCTGCGCAGAGGCTTTGCTTTTTGATCGTGCTGAAGCTGCCATCCTACTGAACTGCCACAGAATGAGGTAACAGAACCGCTATAGAGTCACCTGTTTTTTTCAAAAACCCATTTGAAACAAAGTATGATGTTATCATTAACCACTCCCAAGTTTACTACTTGAAAGTTTGACAACTTAATTTACTTGAGATTGCTGGAACTCATTTTCCTACCCCTCTTAACGGGACTTGCCCCAGGGAACAGCATCCTTCCTGTAGTTAAGCCACACACTGGGGCAGCAAATTGTATTTTTATTTCAAGTGTACAGGAGGCACTACAGAGTTCAAAAGAGTAATAAGCAGAAATCTGAGATAATTTCCAGTATCTGTTCTTGAACTGCTTCGTAAAGAAAAACACTGTAAAACTATTTCTATGAAATGACGGGTTACTGTTAACACAGGGAGAAATTTAGGCTTTAACTTGCAAATTTAACAATACAATACAAACATTTTTGTGTTGAATTCAGTGGCTGGTCCCCAGCCTTGATTTTTTTTTTTTTTCAATCAGCTGAACTCTCTAGGAAATCTGTACAATTTCTTAGGCCCTGCAATAAATCTCAGAGTAAGTTTTCATGCTCCTTTTGTAACTGAAACCTGAATGCCACGGAGCTGAGTGGCAGAAGTGGACTTACAGAGCAAGAGCTCCACCGTCAGGCCGCTTGCTCAGAGCAGAGTGAGGCAGCCACGTCCTCTGCCTCTGTGTCTGAGCAGGCTGTTACTCCATCAGAACAGAGGTTACAGCTGTGGTTCAGCCCCCGACCCAGTTACCTGAGCGAGGGACAGCTTCGCTCAGCTTCAGTCACGCTGCAGCCACCACCAGCCTTGAAGCAACGTTACCTGGCTGTCCCTGCGAAGCAGGGGAGAACTAGGGCTCCCAACCCCCTCGATGCACCACCAGCTCCCCTCGGACGGAGAACACAGCCCTCCTTGACTGTCAGTGAAGAGCCAAACGCAGGACATTTCTAGAAAAGGCCAGAGCGTATTTATTGACAAATGGGTGTGGGAACAGAGCACCGGGCAGGAGGCTGGCAGCGACAGTCCCTTCCTGCGCCTTGGCGGGCATCCCCAGCCCCGTGCTGCCAGCAGCCCCTCCATCGTCCCTCCCGCCTTCTTCCTCTTGCTGCTGCCTGGGGGCCGCTGCTGCTGCTGCTGCTGCCGCCGGGCTCC